TATATATATATATATATATATATATAAACTGCTTTTGCTGCTGTCGGTGTTGCTGTTGCTGCTTCTGTTGGGTATGGTAGTGTGACGGTGTCTACTGCTGCAGTTGTGCTGCTGCTTTCTGCTGCAGCAGCAGCAGCAGTAGGCGGACAAACAGTACCCAAGACAGTCCTCGCTTAAGACAATAAACTAATAAGTAATAATAAATAGTAATAAATAATAATAAATAATAATAATAAATAATAATAACAATAAGAGTGCATGCATTGTTTGCCAAGCGGGTCGCTTTGCTAAAAAGAAGACAAAAGGTCCAATGGTATATTTGCTGCAGCAGCAGCTGCTGCTGCAACAGCAATAGCAGCAGCAGCAGCAGCAACATAACCTTAGCCTACAACAAGAAACCTTAACGCCCTTAACAAGCGCCAAGACAAATAAATAACTGCAGCAATAAACAACCCTCAATGGGGCCCCATGGGGGCCCCCTAGGGGCCCTCCTATGCCCTCTATTGGCACCTAGAGGCCCATATACAAGGTCTCTATTAGGGGGCCCCCTAGGGGCCCTCCTATGCCTCTTAAATGGCACCTAGAGGCCCATAAATGGGGCCTCTATTAGGGGGGACGGCCGCCTATAGGGGCCCCCCCATGGGGCCCCTACTAAATACCCCTAAATATATCTAATTAATTATACCCTCCTCTAGTCACCACACTCCATACTATCAGGGTCTGCACTACCCGCGGGTACAGGGGGGGGAGGCATAGAAGGAGCAGAGGGAGGAGGTACGGATGGAGGAGAGGGGCCCCCCTGTACAGGTGGTAGGGATTGTGCGGTGGGCCCCCCATTTGGGGCCCCCGTCATAGGAGCCCCACCTACTGCAGGGGGTGCACCTGGCCATTGTCCGCCAGGCGGGACAGGCATATACCCCATTGGGGGCCCCATGGGGGCCCCACCCATAGGGCCTCCCCACATACCTGAAGACACAGCAACAGCAGCAGCAGCAGCAGCAGCAGCACTGGTTCAATCACAAGCAAAAGGGAGGAGGGAATAGGGAGGAAGACAGCAGCAAAGGGGTGCCTATACACCAGAAGAATAAATATAAATATATAATAAAATAAATAAATAAATAAATAAATAAATAATCTTACCCATCATTGGCATTCCTCTGTCTCCTATTGGTTGCTGAGGAGGAGGAAAGTTACCCATTGGCTGCATAGGCCATGGCATACCCCCTAAGAACAGAAGCAGCAGCAGCAGCAACAGCAGCAACAGCAGCAGCAGCAGCAACATATTGGTCCTTTGTTCCAACTAATACACTTGGGGCTTTGCATGCATGCAAACGCATGCAAGAAACAAAAATATACAAAAGGAAAAAAGAAAGAAAAAGACATACAAGAATACTATATAAAAAAGACAATGTGTTGCTCCTCTCCTAACTTGCCACTGCTGCTGCTGCTGCTGCTGCTGTTGCTGCTGCTGCTGCTGCTGTTGCTGCTGTTGCTGCAGTCTTACCATGAGGGAATGGGCCTACAGGCATCATACCCATAGGGGGAGGGCGCATTGGGCCCCCAGGCCAATGCATATCTCCTCCCATACCTTGTGGGGGCCCCCCGGGTCCACCCCATGGCCCCCTGGGGCCCCCTCCATTCATTGGCATCATATGTGGTGGAGGGCATCCCATGGGGCCCCCCATGGGGCCCCCCATCCTCCCTGGTGTTAAGACAATAGGGGGAGGAGGAGGACGTCCCCCCCCGGGGCCCTCAGGACCCGAGGGAGACATCCCTGGTGGTGGGGTATTATGCCCAGACCCTGGAGATGTCCCTGTACCAGGGCTACTATAGGGGCCCCCGGGGCCCCCAGAGGGGCCCCCATTCCCATTAGCACGAGGACCATCAAGGGCCCCCAAACCCGATTTCTCTCCACTTAGTTCGTCCATCATACGACGATACTCCTATAAAGAAAAAATAAATAAAATAAATAAATTAAATAAATTAAATAAACAAGCTAAATAAATAAATAATTGTTAATTAAGAAGCAGCAAAAACAGCAGCAGCAGCAGCAGCAGCAGCAAAGAATAAATCCTATATACTTACCATATCTATTTTATAGTTATCGGGGCCTCCACGATACCCATGAGGGTGACGTCCACCCATAGGGGGAGGAGGGGGAGGACGGGGGCCCCCTGGGGCCCCCCCAGGGGCCCCCCCACCATCTGCTTTCCTCAGCTTACAATCCATCGTGACGTGACCCATATCACCGCAAATTGCACAACGCTAAGAAAAAAAAAAAAAAAAAAAAAAA